CTCCCAACTCCCTCCATATCATAAAGTAAAGAAACAATCTTTCCTTTTTGTTTTCCATCTCTTTCTTTAAAGCAACATAAGAAGCTTCTTCCACAAAATCCTATGATTTCTGAAACTTTTTCCCCATACTAGGAATCCACTTGGTTTTCTCCATTTTGGGGTTCATTTACTTTTTGAGTTCCACACAATAACCCTGCATTGCGGAGAAAACAAGCTTGGAATTTATTATAAAAAAAGAGAACTTTTCATCCACTCCATCATCCAACCTCAAGCTGTGGGCTAGCTTTAGCAGTTTTGGTAACTCTGGTTTTTAAGCTTCTTCAATCTCATCATATTTGGGTGTGTTTGTTTGTAAGAAAAAATGGGTTATGGGTATCTTTTGAGTTAGCCAAGAATTTACTCTTCTTAGAGAAATTTAGTTATATTATTGCACAGTTCTTGAAGTTTAGTATTGCATATATAAGGAGAGTGTTTATGTAATTCTTTCTTTGTTTTCTTTTTCTGGTAAAGATTAGGTAGGTACTTATGATGCAATTGTGAAATCATATGTTTTGTCTATCTTTTTCACCCTTTTCAGGGGTGGTTTTATGTCACATACATACTTAGATGATGCTTGGATAGTACATAAAGAGTGTCTTGTGCTCTACTGTAAACCCAAAACAGTCTGTATAATTTTGGTGCAACTTTGTATTTGAGTTGCTTTAAAGGGAGATCAGTTTCTGTTAAGAGGTAATACACAACTAAAACCAATTTGACATCTCAGGCTTCTTTTTTTCTTTTTTTATGTATTGCATATTTGTAAGTATATCTTTGTTCCTGTTCACTACAGCACCATCTGTGTGGTCCCCGCAGCTACCGGGTGTACACCGGGTAAATCCCGTCTTTTTTGTAGCAGGCAAAGGATCACAAGGAGGTAAACCAGTCTAGGTTGCCCATAGCTGATCGGCTGAAGCCAAGAAGGCTGGGATTTAAACTCGTGACCTTGTGATTACAAGTTTGTATCTTTAGCCTATCCCATTTTTTCCATTTTTATAATCAGAAGTGTTAACAAATGGGACAACTGTTTGATTAGGTACAAATTGCTTTCATTAAAATATTTGTTAAAAAAACCATTAAATTTTTTTAGGATTTTATATTTTAGAACAAAGCTTTATGGGTTTGGTGTGTGATTGCTACCTTTTTTGTTTCAGCAACAGCTAGCTAGTATGGGCATCCTCCTCATCATGGCAATATTGGGGAGTCAGATTGGGTTTGTGTCTCCCTTGTGAAGTTAATTAATGTGTTTCCACAATGGCCAGAAGAAACCCAAAACTCCTCTCCCTCCAAATTCTTGCAAATCTTTTACTTCTGTTTCTGTTTTTCCTGCCGTTATCGAAGCCTCTGAGTGTAGAAACTGAGGCCCTTCTTGAATTCAAAAAGCGGCTCAGTGATCCCTTGAGTTACTTGGATTCTTGGGAGGCTTCAGAAAGTCCCTGCCATTTTTACGGGATTACCTGTGACCCGAGAACTGGTTTGGTCACCGAGATTTTGCTTGATAACAAGAGTCTTTCGGGGGTGATATCGCCCTCGATTTCTATGCTCCAGGGGCTCACGTCTCTAGTGCTTCCGTCGAATGCTTTGTCCGGGGTTCTTCCAACCGAACTGTCCAAATGCACCAGCCTCAGAGTCTTGAATGTCACCGGGAATAACTTGAATGGCAGCCTGCCCGATTTATCCAAGCTGACGAACTTGGAGATTCTTGACTTGTCCATCAACTATTTTTCTGGAGAATTCCCAACTTGGGTCGCGAATCTTACAGGTTTGGTTTCGTTAGGCCTTGGCAATAATGATTTCGATGAGGGGGGAATCCCGGAGAGCATTGGGAGTTTGAAGAAACTGACCTGGCTTTACCTCGCTCATTCAAATCTGAGAGGAGAAATCCCAGACTCTATTTTCGGCTTGGAGGCATTGCAGACATTGGACATTTGCATGAACCGCATTTCCGGGAATTTCCCAAAGTTGATAGGCAAAATGCAAAGTCTCTACAAAATCGAGCTCTATAACAATAACCTGACTGGCGAGATTCCAGCTGAACTTGCAGACCTCGCCCTTCTGGAGGAATTTGATATTTCCGAGAACCAGATGTATGGTGCTCTTCCTCGGGGTATTGGGAACCTGAAAAAGTTAACTGTTTTTCATGTGTCGAAGAACAACTTCTCGGGAGAACTCCCTTCAGGCTTTGGAGATATGCAGCATCTCGTTAGCTTTTCTATATACCAGAACAGTTTCTCAGGTACATTCCCAGAAAACCTTGGCAAGTTTTCACCACTGAGTAGTATAGACATTTCTGAGAACCAATTCTCCGGTGGATTCCCGAAATACTTATGTCAGAACGGGAAGTTGCAGTATTTGCTTGCAGTGGAAAACCGTTTTACAGGTGAGTTTCCAGAGACTTATGCTTCCTGTACACCATTGCAGAGGTTGAGGGTCACCGAGAATCGCCTTTCTGGGAAAGTCCCAGATGGCGTTTGGGCCCTTCCGAATGTGAAAATGATTGATTTCAGTAGCAACAGTTTCAGTGGAGGTATTTCTCCCCGGATTGGGGCTGCCACAAACTTGAACCAGTTAGTTCTGTCAAACAACAAATTCTCGGGTCAGCTCCCAAAACAACTTGGAAATCTCTTGCTTATGGAGAGGCTTTACTTGGACAATAACCGTTTCTTTGGGTTGTTACCATCTGAACTTGGTATGTTAAAGCAAATGTCATCTTTCCATTTGGAGAAAAACGCGTTCGTGGGATCAATACCTGCAGAGTTAGGGCACTGCTCTAGGCTGGCGGATATGAACCTTGCTTCGAATAACCTAAGTGGTAGCATTCCCGATTCCATTACAACGATGCCCTCTCTGTTGAACTCCTTGAATCTCTCAAACAACAACCTCACCGGCTCAATTCCAAGAAGCTTAGATAACCTGAAGCTTTCATCGATCGATCTGTCTGACAACCAACTCTCCGGGGAAGTTTCATATGATCTTTTGATAATGGGGGGAGATAAGGCGTTCCTCGGTAACAAAGGACTCTGCATTGATCACAGTATCAAAAGTGAAGTGAACACAGAGTTAAGCGTTTGCGGTGGGCACACTGTCCGGCATAAACTCATTAAGAGCAAAGTGGTGGTGCTAAGCATTGCATTGTTAGCCACGACCGCTCTTCTGGGCGGCTTCTTGATCGTGAGTTATTGGAACTACAAGCAGAGCGTCCGAAATGCTAAGAAATTGGAGGAAGTCCCGAAGTGGAAGCTCGAGAGCTTCCACCACATAGAGTTTGGTGCAGATGAAATATGCGATTTGGACGAGGAGAATTTGATTGGGAGTGGAGGGACGGGGAAAGTATATCGCCTTGATTTGAAAAAGGGTTGTGGTACTGTGGCTGTGAAGCAACTGTGGAAGGGGGATGGAGTGAAAGTTCTGGCTAGAGAAATGGAAATTCTGGGGACAATTAGGCATAGAAATATAGTAAAACTCTATGCCTGTCTAATGAATGGAGGTTCAAATTACTTGGTTTTCGAGTACATGCCAAATGGTAATCTTTTCCAAGCACTTCACCGCAAAATCAAATTTGGTAAGCCGGAATTGGATTGGGATCAGAGGTATAAAATCGCGCTGGGAGCTGCTAAAGGAATAGCTTATCTGCACCACGATTGTTCTCCTCCTATTATTCACAGAGATATCAAGTCCACCAACATTCTCCTCGACGAGGCTTATGAAGCAAAAGTTTCAGATTTCGGGGTTGCAAGAATTTCAGAAATCTCTCAAAGAGGATCCGAGTTTAGCTGTTTTGCAGGAACTCATGGTTACATGGCTCCTGGTAAGCTTCATGAATCCATAATTTCTTTTTCTTATTTTTACCAATTTCACACCAACACAATCACTCTCTACTGATTTCTGCACTTCATTCATGTGCAGAGATGGCGTATACGCTTAGGGTGACCGAGAAAAGTGATGTGTATAGCTTCGGTGTGGTGCTATTTGAACTAGTGACAGGAAGAAGTCCAATAGATGATGCATATGGAGAAGGAAAAGACATAGTTTACTGGGTCTCAACTCATCTGGACAACCTCGAAAGCATCCTCAAAGTTCTCGACGCCAATGTAGTCTCGGAGCTAGTCCAGGATGACATGATCAAAGTCCTGAGAATTGCAACACTCTGCACCACAAAGCTTCCGAATCTTCGGCCCAGCATGAAAGAGGTTGTCAAAATGCTGGTTGATGCTGAGCCCTCAGTGTTTAAGTCCACTGGGAATCATCACAAAAATGAGAAAGTCCTCCTGTAGATGCAGTTCAATTTTCTGCTCATTTATATATATTTATATATATGCACAAACCATATTCTAATTTCAGCTTTTGTGTGTGTTTATACATGCCAATGGCTACCATGTAATAATGATTATTGTATGGACGTACAACTGTGAAAAAATGGATGACCATTTCAATATATCAAGAACTTGAAGAACAGTTTCCAATATTTTCTGGGCAAGAGAACAAATCTCAGTGAGAAAAATTTAGCAAATTTTATTCACATGTATCGGCTAATCGAAACTACAGTATATACAATTTCTGATAAATATAAAGCTGAAAGACAAATGCCTGATCAATGGCACAAGCAACAGAGTGCAAATAGACCTGATATCCAAACCCAATGTATCAACCTGCGAAACCACAGAATGGGTAGGGAATGGTTTGGTTTATGGTAGATGTAAAGGAGCAGCAAAAAAACTCAGCTTGGTTGGCGTGAGTGGCCGTGCACTCTCGTCCCTTAAGAGAGGTCGGGAGTTCGAACCCCCTCTCATATGAAAAACCAATCTGGTCAGCACTTTGCCCCTTAATTGGGCCGGCCCAGTGCGAACGGGGATTAGTCTGAGTATGGTACGGGCTTAAAGGTGCCTCTTACAGTTAGGAGGCCTCGTGGTCTAACCAAAAAAAAAAAAAAGAGCAGCAAAAATATGAGTAGAGCATGTAGAGCCTTTGAAAGCAAAATATGATATTACCAGATGAAAAGTAGCCCTCTGGGCTATACTCAAAAAAACAGAGAATTCACAAGCACCCGGTTAAGAGATAAAACTAAAACTAGGGATTCAACTACTAGACAAGAAAGCTTGAGAGCCAAAAGTCATCATCATCAGCCAAGTAATCTTCATAGATTTTTCTTCTGAATTGAGGTGAATTCTAATCCCAGCCAGTCCTGTTTAAGATTTAAGTCCATGAGATAATAAATAATACTCCATATTAGTGATGAAGTAATAAAACTGGTTAGTGCAAATAAAAAGAAAAGAAAATGGTAAGCAATAGAATGGAAGAGATACCTTTCTTCAACTCACATGCTTCTTTTTTTCTCTATCAATCTACTCGGTTCCCTTAGAAGTTTCAACTATGAGTACACTGATCAGCATCATCTTCAATACTATGCTTAAGCAGAAGGTCTCTCACAGTATTCGTATCAGACCATTCAACTTTGTCCATAAAAACTAGGCTCTCCGTGTAAGTGCTTGCATAAAAAGCATGCAAATATGAGCCATGGATATCAAGATACTCAATTACCAGTGCCTTGGGATCAAATATAGCAAAACATTTATCACGATCCACAAATAAAGCTTCACCGTTTTGCCTAAACCCAACAAGCAACTGAAACCCTAGACGAAGATGATTGATGGAGAATAACCGAGTCCAAGACCGTACATTCCCATACTCTTCCATTACCCATACACAGCAATATGGGTTCATGCTATACGTACCATGCACAAAAACAGCAAGTTCTTCCTTGTACATCCCAACTCTTAAATCCGTAAAATACCTCAAACTCGCACTCGCCACACTCTCCGGTAGCGAGATCTCGCCAAACACCTCCTTACTAACATCAAACGACAAAATGACATTTCTGAAGTTCTCATCCATGGCAGCCCAATGCAAGATACCCCTAGCGAAAGCAGCAGGCGCTGTGGCCCCCACACGATAGAGAAACCCACTCGCCGCCTGACTAATATCTCTCCACCTTCCTTTCCCCAACTCAAAGAGCTCAACCTGGGGCGGCCCATCATTGAGCCAGATATTAACAATCCTAACAACCTTGTATTCATTACTCAACGGGTCAAACCCGAACCCGTGGGTATGGCTACAAGCCCCATGCGAAGTGAATGTAACCCTAGGTTCGGGAAGAACAACCGATTTTCTAATCGACGGGTTCCAGAGAATAGTGGTGAGGTTATACTCACCCATATCATCCGTCAAACACACTAACCCGTTACAAGAACCCACAATGCGGAAATAATCGTTTACACCAATGAAAGGAAACTCAAACTTTCTGTACACTTCAAATGTGTCGTTATCATCAAAATACAGTTCATAATTCTCCTTCTTGTCCACCACTCGCTCTCCATCGCAGTATCTAAGTAAAAGATGGGTTTTGGCGGAATTGAATTGGAAATGCGCGGAGATGAATAGGGGACTGGAGATTAGAGCGTACCAAGATTTGCAGACGGCGGTGCACCGGAGAACGGTGGCGACGGGGAGCCTTGATAGGATGCTGATCAAGACGTCTTCAGGAAAATGGCCGGACATTTTTCTCCTGTTTGCGATCATCTGAGGCCGACAAAACCCCAAATTGCCTAATTGGGAGAAGCTGAAATTGATAATTTCGAGTCAATCTTTGTGTGCTTACAGTTGCAACCTTTGCAATTTATAAAATTATAAATTGACCCCAGATGTTCAAAATTGATAAATATAAATAAGAAAAAATCTCAAATAAATTCTCATGAAAATTTAGAGTGTGTTTGGAAACTCGGAAAATGATTTTCGAAAATTCAAATTTTCTATGTTTGGTAAGCAAAGGAAAATTTGAGTCAACGAAAAATAAGGCTTGATCAAAGAAAAATGAGCCTAATTTTTTGAAAAACAAATTCACTTTTTTTTTTGACACTTTGATCCGTCGGAAATAAGACGGAAACCCCATATTTCCGGCTGAAAACAACCGATTTGGTTTCCACGCGGAAACCAATGAAGATTCATTTTATTTCTTTTAATTATATTGCTTGATTTTTTAATTGTAGGACTATATTTTTTAGGTGTAAACTACGAGGTGGTCCGGGTCTTTCTCTGTCTGTTTAACGGTCCAGGTCCACCTGACTAATCCCCATTTGCGTTATCCCAAAATTTTTTCCCACGAAGAGAGCTCATTTACCATCTGAGCTACCACCCTGGGTTATTGTAGGACTATATTTAAAATTAGTTTATTATTATTTGAAATATTTTAATATTCTAAATAAAATAATAAAATGTTTATTTACAAAATTCTACTCATTTTTCAGAAAATGAACCAAACACACCATGACAGTTTTTCAGAAGGCAATCAAACACCGGAAAGGGAAAATATTTTTTTTAAAAAATGACTTATTTTCTAGAAAACATTTTCTAGAAGTCATTTTCCTTCTTTTCAAACGGACCTTTAATTGCAATTTTGAACTAGAAACGAAAAAAAAAAAAAAAAAAAAAGTTTCAAATACATCCTATACTTTTTTGTTTTTTTTTGGTAGAGAAATACATCCTATACTTTGAAAGAAAGTGCATCCAGACAGTTTTAAGAACATCTTCAAGGGCCTTTTAAAAAAAAAGGTTTTTCATGCCAAATGGGGGTGAGAAAATAGAGGAAAATTACTATAAAAAAAATGTTTTATGCGTTAAGTGCACCAGTTGTGATTAATATTTTTTTTTTTTAATTTCACGAATCTTACTAAAAATCATATCCTTATACAAATACGTTTTTTTTTTTTTCCTCTTTATTTTCCCTTCTCTCCTCCAAGTTAACTCTTCCCTCTCCCCCTCTTCCATGTGTGAAAAAAAAAAAAAAAAAAAAAAAAAAAACCCAACTAAATCACTGATGTTACTTTAGTCATTTTTTACTTGTAAACTTTAGGTTAATATAATGTTCCAATAAGCCAGCATCTTCCCGTGAGACTGCGTGACACAATATGAATGCACACACACTAGATTGTATACAGTCATGTTGGGTAAATTGCACACATTTTAGTTTGTGTGCATTCATGTTGTGTCTCACACAGTCTCACAGTCTCACAGGAAGATGTTGTCTCATTTTATATATATATATATATATATATATATATATATATATATATATATATATATATATATATAATACGGATCAAATGCGAAGGAAGGCTTTAGGTAAAAAAAAAAAAAAGTTAAAAAATCTCAGTCATAGATCTAGTCTAAATCAACAGTCCATAATGAAGAAGAATAATAAAAAAAAAATAAAAAAATAAAAAAAAAAAACACGGTGGCATTTTTGTAATTTTGTGTAGGTAAGTTTTGATTTTCTTTGTCTTCGAGTGCACATTTTTCCTTCTTCGAGTGCACATTTTCCATCTTCGAGTGCATGTGCTTTTCTTAGTACGCAGTTTTTCCTTTGAGTGCACATTTTTGTGCCTTTGAATGCACATTTCTGTGCCTTAAAGTGTACAATTTTGTGTCTTTAAGTTCATAATTATGGGTCAATGTTTATTACATCTTTTGCTTTTTTTTTTTTTTTTTTTTTTTAAGTTATTAGATCTGGACACGTGAGTGCATCCATATATATATATATATATATATATATATATATATATATATATATATATATATATATATATATATATATATATATATAGGGACGCACTCAGGTGCGAATAAGTGCCCAGGAAGGAAATGCGAACGAATCAGCGCATGACACGTGTCCAGATCTAATAACTTAAAAAAAAACGCGGTGGCATTTTCGTAAATAATTGAGCATCGAAGTGCAAGTAAAATATCTTATAAGTGCACCTATTTTCACCTATAAGTGCATGTAATTTTGCCTAGTTAGCATTCACTTTCCGCAACTATTCATGCACCTGGGTGTGCTTATAACTATATGTGCAACTATTTATAACTATGTGTGCACCTACTTTTACCTATAAGTGCATGTAATTTTGTCTTGTTAACATTCATTGATCTGAGTTCAGCGGGTAGTGATACTCCTGAAAACCACTCCAAACATTCATACACCTAGATGCAACTACTTAGAACTATAGGTGCAACTACTTAGAACTATAAGTGCAACTAAGTATTGATGCTCAGTGTAAATTTTTACTTGCACCTATAATACATTTTACATGCACTTGTAATACATTTTACTTGCACTTCGATGTTCAATTATTTACGAAAATGCCACCGCATTTTTTTTAAAAAATCAGTGTTTCTCATCCATTAGATCTGGACACGTGGACGAACAGAATCCATTCCTATTTCGCACCTGGGCGAGCCGTTCGCACCCGAGTGCAACTCTATATATATATATATATATATATATATATATATATATATATATATATATATATATATATATATATATATATATATATATATATATATATATATATATATATATATCACTGCTGGAAATTTCGCTATTTCCGTCCAACATTCCGACCAAAACGTGACCCCGAAAAAATGAATACCGGTAATACCGTCCAACATCAAATGTTGGACAGAAATTCCGTCCAACGGGTCAAAATTGGACGAAAATTCCGGATGTTAACCCACCATTTTTAGGATGGAAATTTCCGTCCAACTTTTACTCGTTGGACGGAAATGCCGACTAACTGTTGGTCGGAAAACTCATACACTTTAATATCCAAAATTCCTTCCAACGGTTGGTCGGAAATTGTGACCAATGGTTGGTAGGAAAATCTATATTTATATAAATTATTTTTATTATTTTGATATTGCTATAATTTTGTTTTACTTGTTGTCAGTAAATTCTACATCATCAACAAAGTAATGTAAACAATCTAAATTCAAAATGAAAATATATTTAAATATCAAAATTATTTACAACAAAAAGATAGTATTGTGTTCATAAACATTTAAGCAATGCAGTACTATTGCCATACACAAGAAGTCATAAAAACATAAAATACTTAATCTTCATCAGGAAGGACTTGTGTTTCATCATTTTGTTTTCTTCCCACATTTGTTGAATTTCTACCATCAATGCTGCATTTGAAGTTGCATTTGAAGATCACGCTCCATGATTTAAGAAAACAGGAAAGTGGCAAACTATCATAATATTCTTCAACCTTTGTTAAACAGGAAAGTGGCAAACTACCATGGTATCCTGGAACATAGAAAAATGTGAAAATAACTAAATAACTCATAAGACTGACATTATAATGGACTTGCAAAAGTGCATATGCAAAACACCAACTTAAGTAAAGCCTCTGAACTAACATCTGGAAACTGTATGCATATATTATAAGATAAACTGAAGATTGAGCTCAAGTAAGGAATCGAGGCAATGTCATACTCATTAGAAAATACTCATGTTCACAATAAAAGCAAAGCAGAAAAGCTCAGTCTACTTTTACTTACTTTTACTTGGAAAACATCTATCCTCCCAAGACTATCATCCTCCTGAATTTCACCCTATCACCTTAACAAATATGCATTTAATTGCAGCTTCAATGTACCAATGTAGATATGAATGCACATGAATTTCACCCTATCACCTTAACATACACACATATGAATTCAATGATTGTTCTTGTAGATACTGAGTAACAATACTATCTCCCTTAATTGCTCCTAATTGTTGAGCATCTTCAAGCCAGCAATGAACATTACATGTCCAAAATAGAAAGGTAGGATGGGATTCCAATGGTAATCATTCATGCAGAAGATAAGCTTAGAAGAGATATGAGGCCAATAACTTGAATGTGACAAACTAAATTCAGAGTTATTATTAACTTACCTTTCTAAAATGTTCAAGAGCTTCTGTGTTGAGTTTACATTGACCTGTATACGCAAACCAACGACAACAGAGATGAATTGCCCTATTCGGATCCACAATTTCTGTGCAAACACCGTATGTAACACCAATCAAACATGCAACTCCTACCAAATTTTTAACATCTATATAAATGAATTAACATTATATCAAACATAACATGAAAAAAAAAAAAAAAAGAACATACCAGAGTATTCGTGAACACTTATCTCAAGAAAGGAAGTGCAAAACCTACCAAATTTTTAAACAAGTTTAAGAGGTAAACAAGCAGTCAATGAGATCATATCAAAAGCTATATAAATTCATGTGAATCTTTAAAAAGTTTTACCGATGTAAAAGAATGCATGGAGATGGTGTTGGTGCAGGGTGAGGAGCAAGGCATGGTGCAGATCTTCCTGACATCACAAACCATGAAAATACTAAAACAAACATAAATTAAAATCTCAAATTATGGGAAGAGAATTGAATTAACATCAAACTAAATATAGGTAGATATTACTATAGAAGAAGAAAAACATAAGCAGCCTAGACAAAATTTTGAATCAGTAAAGTACGTAACAATTGAAATTGACAATGCAGGATTACAAGCAGAATGTGCATAGATTCAAGGCAGCTCTTTCTCAAAAATGTAAATGGAATACTAGTGAGATTAGTACTTCTTTACATGCGCTTATGAAATTTGAGTTTAAAAGTGTTTTTCTTTGCAAGCATTATTAGGCTCAACACATACAGATTTGGGGCTAAAACCCAAAACTTAATATAGTTTCCAGTGCATAAAGGGAGAAATACAATTTCATACAACATCTAAAGGAAATGATGCAGATCAATACTACTTGAGCAAACAAAATAAAAGAGAAAACCATTTCTGCACTGGTGGAAACTGGAAATCTAGAACATCATAAGATACATATGTACAATTGGGTCAAACTTATGAATCTTGCAGCCACTCAACCTTTTTAAAGATGCAATTAAATAGAACACCTACTTTGATCTTTGGATGCAATGACCAAATCCTTGATGCCATTCACAAGTCCAGCTAGACCACATTGACTTTAAAGATAGTTCTACAGTATGAATATCAAAGCACTAGAACATACTATTAAAGATGGTTTTCAACCCCAGCTTAGCTTGAACATTCTGCAACAATACCATGAAAACATATGATTAATCTGCTATTATTGTCTTTAAAATAATAATAATAATTCCATTTGGGAAATGGGAATGTCTTTAAAAGAATTAATTAATTGATTTTTTAAAGAAATTCTCAAATTAGATATGGGAATGTTTCATTTTTATTAGATATACAAGTCATTAGACATGAAAAATTAAGTAATATTGTGGTGTTAATCGTTTTTCTAAGACAAGAATATTCAAACTCAACTACTAAAATCAGCCAATATTAACTATTGGGCACATTGTCATGGAAAGAAAAATAATGATAGTAAAAGCAGTAGACAGATTTAGCCGGCAGAGCAGCGACCATTCTCAGTCTGTCCTCATCTCCTCCCTTCTCAGCGTAGATCTGACTTGCCAGTGTAGATCTGAAACAGGACTCTCCGAAAAAGTGCTCCTCTTGTACAGATCTAAAGAACGAAGGAGGAGAGTTGAAAATTTAAAAATAAAAAATAAAACTTACCTCTCAGTTGTGGCTTCCAAAGAAGAGGAGAGGAAGGGCACGACGTAATCCTCCGTGATGTTGAGTAGAGCCCGTAGATCCGCCGCGAAATTGAACACATGAGCGATCTGAGGAGCCACCGGCGGTCTGCTGAGCTTGGACGGCGGAAGCAGTCGTGGCTGCCGACTTGCAGGTGATGCCATCCATTTGGCGGTAGTCTTGGACAACGGGAGGGAAAGTCTAAAATATTTAGCGGTAGTCTTCGAGACTTCGACTGAGAAGAAGAATAGAAGGCTAAAATATTTAGACTTCCGTCCAACATTGATGTTGGACAGAAATTAAAATACTTACTATTTTAATTCCTACCTATCAGTTAATTTTGATTTACCAACCAACACTACAAGTTGGACAAAGTTTCTTTCCAACACTGGATGTTGAACGGAAATTCCGTCCAACATTCGCGTGTTGGACGGAAATTTCGATCAATTTTTCGTCCACCCATTTTTAGTGATAGAATGTTGAAATTTTTATTAAAATACCGACCAATATTTGGTTGGACGGAAATGTTGGACGGAAATAGCGAAATTTCCAGCAGTATATATATATATATATATAGGATCATATGAGAACACTTGCTTAGGTGAGAACGTGAGAACGAATCGTGTGCATCCATCTAATATTTTTTCATGGTCTAGATTAGATTTAAGTGTGTGCAAACGCGAATTAAATGTGTGCAAACGCGATTAAGTGCGTTTGCACACATTTAATCTAATCTAGACAATTAGATGGATGCACACAATTTGTTCTCACGTTCTCACCTAAGCAAGTCTTCTCATTGGAACCCTACTATATATATATATATATATATATATATATATATATATATATATATATATATATATATATATAGAGTAAATACCACCCAAGGTCCCTCGAGTTTGGATGGTTTCACAGAAACCACCTATAGTCCCTAACTTCCGTAATTACCATTCGTGGTCCTTCGAGTTGCGAAATTTGACCAGTTGCCGTCCTTCCGTTAATTCCTTCCATCTAAGCTGTCAGATGTGGGGGTAAATTTGTCATTTTCCATACTGATTCGTCTCCCAGTTCATCGCCCCATCTTCTATCAACGCCCCATTTTAAGAAGAACCCAATTCATAGATTCCGACGATCAACATCTTCTGGCTCGTTCTCACCCCTGTACTCAACGTCTTCAATTTCTGACGCTTCAGCCTCCTGTACTCTTCATAACTCAAGCCTATCAGCTCCTCATCCGATTCCGACTCAGTCTATAATCTCCATTGTCGTAGCCTTTCCTTCGATCTCCCAGACGTTCGAATTTGTAGGGTTCGTAATTAGGGTTTTGTTGATTGCTCAAACGGTAAGGAGAATAGGGCCGCTGGTCACGACGGTTATTATGAGAGGAAGGCTCATACCTTGAGTTGTCTGGACTATGGCTATGACTCCTGCTGTCGCTGAGACTGCGACTCTGGCTTCGGCTAGAGCTACGGCTGCGACTCCGATAACGACGACGATACGAATCAAATTCTGGAGAGTACCGGCCACGGTCGCGACCACTATCTCTGTGGCGCCGGCGCCGTTCTTCTGGGATTTCAATTGCAGAGGTTAGTCGACCCATTTCACGATAGGCTTTGACGAGGAAAGAGAAAATGGTAGTGGTTTTGGAGACGACGATGAAAACTGCTGGAGATCAATTGTGGCCAAACGAATGTCGGTGGCACATTATCACACCCTCATAATTGAGCTTAAGTTATGGCCTTTTGGTGAGTACCAGGCATATTTTACCATCTTTGCCGTCGACTAAGAGGGTGTCAGCCGCCGGAAACAAAGGGTGTCGGCCTCCCTCAGCTTTACCGGCGAGGTTTTTCCAACGTCGGTGTTGCAAATCGAAACGGCTTCTTCGTCGGCAATTGATCCTCCGACTTCTCTCACTCTCTCTTTACAGGAAATAGCCAACAACTAGCTCGCACGGGTAGCTCAATATGGGCAGGCAGAATTTCAACCAAGATACAATCTTTTCACCCGTAGGTGATGAAACTATCATCCAGATTTTCCAATGAAAGTGAAAATTCAGATTTTATGCATTTTTTTTCCTTCAAGATGAGGGTCTTACTGGGCAGCCATGATTGGGGACTTGGTTTAGGTGGAATTCCCAGGACTCCATTGAATCCACCTTCACAACCCTTGATTTACTCTATTGTTCGTGCGCACCCATTCTTCCTCTCTTCTGAGCTCTTCAATTCTTAGAGGCTAATACTATAATCAGAAAAATGATTAACGCAATCTTTACATAATTTACTAAACCAGTTGGGCCCCATTGTTTGCTCAGATCACTGATATTTTTGTGTGAATTCAAATATGAATCAGATCACTAATATTTGCCCTTAAAAACTAATAAACAAAGAGAAATTACTATTCTATCCTTGTTTTAGACGGTGTAAACGGAAGGAACTAACGGAAGGACAACAGAAGGTAAGATTTCGCAACTCGGAGGACCACGAATGGTAATTACGGAAGTTAGGGATTATAGGTGGTGAAATCACCAAACTCGAGGGACGTTGGGTGGTATATATATATATATATATATGGTTGAGTTCAAATGAGGACAACAATATATAGAGGACTGTGAGGACAAATAATAGGCACACAACAAATTAATACCAAGCACACAACTTAATACATGATGGCACACAAGAATAAATGTAAACATCAGGTTTCGAACCCTGGCTCTATAAATTAACAAATCTAGCACGCGACATACAAACTGTGGCACACGACTACATTCGCCATGCACACGACATACCGGCTAATGGCACACACTACATCTGTCCTCACAGTCCTCTATAATATACTTGTCCTCATTTGAATTCACACACACACACACACACACACACACACACACACACACACATACACAACACACACACACACACACACACACACACACACACACACACACACACACACACACACATATATATATATATATATATATATATATATATATATATATATATATATATATATATATATATATATATATATATATATATATATATATATATATACTTGTTCACATGAGGACACATGTTGTTACAGGACTCTGAGGACAAATCATACCCATTAAATTCAAGAGATTACATGACTGAGATCTTGTCCATAAAATGCTTTGATTCACACCTGAACTAATTATAGAGGGCAAAGAAGACATTTGAGAGCAATTATAATGATGGAACGATTATAATTAACAAACATAGAATTGAAAAAGGAGTATAATTATGATAGAGAATAATATCCAAAGAAGGCAGTGCGTAAACGTGACTGGAGAAGGCATTGCTAAACATGAGGCGAGAAGGCTGTGCATTCGGTGTAACGTAGCCCACCGGAGTGCGGGTATGTACGGTACTAGGTTATATAATCGTGAGCTTGTAACACTCGTATGCCATGATTTAGGATATTGTGTTCATCTTGATATTATGTCGTGTGCCACAATTGGAAAACAAGAACCGCATAACTTCGCACACACAGTATGGCGTTATTTTTTATAAAGGGTGATTATAAGTACTAAAACCAAGAACATAAAAGAAGATAGGTTCGAGTGAACATGTGGTTCCAGTAATTAATATATGCTTCACCTTCACTAGTAATTTTTTATTGAGTCATATATCTTAAAATCTCGTGTGCCATTTGTGAGGAAATCGTGTGCCTCATAATACTATGTCGTGTACCATATTAAGAAAACATGAGCCACCCACCTTTGCACACATAGATTTCCGTAATTTCGTAACGTAATATATAGATGTAATTATTTGTTACTAGTATTACCAAGAGCATATAACAAGAAAGGTGCCAGTGTACATTTCTTAAAGTAAGTAATATATGATTCAATGATAAGCTATTATAGAGTCGTACACATGCTGCCACTCACTTATAAATATGGAGTCAAATTGTCAACATCAATCTTGCACTTGGAACCCGCACCCATTCCTCCGGAGTAAGATTAGTATTCGGAGCAATCACACCAAGGTTCTTGCCGCATTCGATCAACGAAATCCCGCGGAGGGTCAACAAAATCACCATCATCATTATGCAATTCAGATAGACAACCCTTCGAATGTGCATCCCCTGCCTTTTTTAGCTACAAACCACCAACATGAACAAACACACACTAAGACAAACATAATGTAATGCAAGGAACTCAACACTCTGTACCCGTGCACATAGACAAACATAACAGTCACACAACTTAAAATCACATGACAACACACCTGGGAATGGGACCAGTGATTGAAGAGAAAGAGAGACAAAAGTTGAAAAGATTACATCCAGATCTTAGAAACGTGCGCTACTCAATCGCGAAGATCAAGATTCATCAAGCCTCGTTGAAGTAGAAAGAGGCGGAGTAAACTCATGTTGAATTGAAAAACTTGGTGGTTTTGAAGTTCACGACTGGCTTTGTGTTCAAAGCGTGAACGTCCGATTTTGTACTTGTGATAGTGCAGCCCTCCTCGTGTTTGTGGAAAATAGTGGAATAGGCTGGTTATAGCAAAATCACTATAAAAATCTCTCTCTTTCTCTCTTTCTCGCTTTAATTATTTATTGCTTTATTGCATAACTCAGAAGCAAACCTAAAATTTGACAAGGTTAAAACTACGTGCAAAGAAACTCAAAAGGGTTAAAATAATTTTCGATGTGCATTCTGACGAGAAGTTAAAGTTACCTCTTGGGTGCTTTAACTATTCACAAAAAGTTTTCAAAATTCTACAAGTCTATTCAATCCCTTCTAGACTTGTACCCTAACTTTCACCGGAACCAACAAGGGATATTAGAGCAGTTACCTTGAGCGGTAAACACTCGTGTATACTGCATGGTGATCTCTTTTCAAAATAAAAATCATTTTCTTTTGCACGTCACTAGTACATAACAACACATAAGCTACACCTGTAAAAGGGGATAGGTGTAGCGGATGTGAGTGACATAGGAAACCTAAGCTTTCAAGAAACCTAGGGTGTTGCGGAAAGCTTGCAGATTCTTTCCTTCTTTTTTTATTTTTATTATTATTATTATTATTATTATACCACTTTATTTTTTGAGTTAATACCCAAAATGGTTCTCTGACTATTAGCTAATACTCAATTTTGTCCCAAAGAATTAACCCTACTCAATTTAATCCTCTAACTTTTAAAACAGTACTCAATATGATTCTCTGTTAGAATTTTCATCCATTCACCGCTATTTTGAAGGGCTTACGCGTCATTTTAGTTGAAGTCCTTCGCCACCGCTTTTTTTTTTTTTTTTTTTTTTTTTTTTTTTTTTTTCCGTTTCTCATGCTAAGAAGTTCAACCCTCTATGTCCACATGAAGTGTATGTGAGTTCAACCGTTTTTTTTTTTCCTGCACCACGTTCTCGTCGCGTGAAAGTTGCGACCGGTGAGCCTGAAGGTTGCGACCGGTGCCACAGTTCTCGTCGCCGTATTTTTCTGGGTTTTCCGGTCGAGGTGTGAAGTAACACCTCTCGTCGACAGCTGCTCATCGTGGCCTCCGTCACAGTTCCGGTGAGTTCCTCTACTCTGTTTCTTGATCTGGGCGGTTGCTCCCTGTTCATCGTGAACTGGTGCTCCTTGTGGCTGTTATGGCCGGAAAAGGGAAGAAACCCAGCCGGGTCTCTCACACTCAACACCAAGTGGTGGAGTTATCGGTTGATGGAACTGTATATGATATTGGTCACCAGTAAATCAACACCATTAATTTTGATCTTGCAAAGTACTGTATTAATTAAAAAGAGAAGAAGATATATGATGGATGTATTTTGTTCGGATTTAGGGATTGCTACGGCTTTGAGACGATGAAGAAGAGAAGAGATGGCTTTTTTCTTTTCTTGATTAAAGCTGAGATCTTTTAATTTCTCTTTTTCTTGATTAAAGTTTTCATCTTTAATGATTTCTTATTCTATTCCCCCCCCCCCTTTTTTTTTTTTCCTGTAATTGGGTTATTTGGATTTTGAGTGAACCCGGATTGATTGAGCTTTAACTTAATAGCTTTCCAAGATTTTTGTGGTGATTTGATGCTGTTTCATTAGGAGGGTTTTGATGCAAAGAGCAAGGCCTGGGTGACATTAATGTTGAAGCTCTTTAGCGGGCTTTGCTCATTGAATAAGCTGAAGAGGCAAGGAAGCTCTTTAGTCACGGCTTCTTTGAGGGGGTCACAGCAGAACGATTACTGTGGCTTGGTGGTGGTGTTTAGGAAGCCGGCACAAGGGATCAGCTTCATAGCGCATGACAGAATGCCTTTATTGCCATTTTGAAGTTGTTTACAACTCCATTTAGCATGCCTTTCTTGGCAAATTATACTGTAAACTATAATTCATATTACAACAGAATGAAAAATGAAAAACTAAGAGCTCATCATATATAAATAGGTTGGAATCAGGATATATAGATGCACGTATAGTACTTGAATTCTGAGATAACGATTTTCACATGAGGAGGGTTTTGATGCAAAGATTGTGTAGTTGATGGGGGTTCTTCTTGTTGGTTTTTGGCGAGGGAGAAAGGCTCAGGGCTGCTGGTTTTGTCTTCACATTTTGATGAGAATGATGAAGGAAGAAATTCCACTAAAATGACGCTTATGTCCTCAAATTAACGGTAGATAGATGGTAATTCTAACGGAGGACCATATTGGGTACCGTTTGAAAACTAAGAGGACTAAATTGAGTATGTTTAATTCTTCGGGACAAAATCGAGTATTAGCTAATAGTCAAAGGACCATTTTGGGTATTAACTCTTGTTTTTTTAATATATATATATACACACACAACACACATAACAACTAATTAATATAAAAACATAATTTACTATCTACTTTAAAATGAGGAAAACAAACAAATATTATTCATAGATAATATGAGTTAATACAGTGCTACCAAGAAAAGAAAATAAATGATGCGAAAGCTCATGTCTGAGGATGAACGCTTTCAACAATGCTACTTAGGATGAACGCTTTAAGCACACCTTTGAACCAGATGAATCTTCTATTTGAAGCACCGCATTTTGTTGTATGTAAATCAAAATAAATACATACAATACACATAAGTCTCAACGCCAGAAATATATACAACACACACTCAAAACAGAAATATATACAATACACTATGGGAAGAAGACATTGCCACAACAAAATACTTTTTAATTTTTGATCCACCAATACCAATCTTTATCATCATTTTAACTTTTTTTCGCTTCACTGTTTGAAAGAAGAAAAAGAAAGAAAGAAAAGGCTTCCTTTGTATAAATTTAGGCTAGCAGTCTGCGATTTTTCCCCTATAAACTATTTTGCGAACAAAAAGTAATAACACAGTATACTTAACAGCAACACCAAACAAGTGGTTTCAACGCCATAAATAAAGTGTTAAGTGTCTAACCATCATGAAATAAGTCTCAACGCCAGAAATAAAATTACTTCTCAATGCCAGAAAATAAAATAAAATACAGTGTATTTTGATATACGCCAGAAATAAGTCTTCTTTGCCAGAAATGAAATTTTACCCGTCGCCTCGGTCTTCTTTGTACACCGGTCGCCTCTGTCTTCTTCGTACGCCAGTCGCTAGTGTGTTTCTATACAGATTTGTTGGCTGGCTACCGTGTTCCGCTCTCTCCACTGTCACCTCAATCTCTCACCATTTTCCCTTTTGGCCGTATAGAAAATTAGAGAAGGAGAGAGAAAAAGAAGAGAGAAAAAAAAGACAGAAGAAGAAGTAGAAGAAAAAAATGAGAGAATGAGCTTTGGAGAGCTTTGAGAGAGAGAGATGAGAGAATGAGTGGTTCGCTTTGAGAGATGAGAGAAAGAGAAAGAGATGAAGCTTTGGAGAAAGAGAATGGAGAGGAGTCTGATATGAGAAAGACATCTTGAAAGTTGTTTGCGTGTATGCGAACCAACCTGGACAGCAACAATGAGTCGAACAAACGCAATAAAATGAGTAGCAGCTTCGGCTTCGAATAGCAGCAATAATTGGCGTGCAGCTTCAGCTTTGGACAATTGCAATAATTGGTAATTAGCGTGGCAGCTTAAGCTTTGAGCAGCAGCAACATTTTGCAATTAGCGTGGAAGCTTCAATTTGGCACAGCAACAATAATTAACAATGACGCAGGGATGATGCAGGGATGACGCAGCGTGGCCGCTTAAGCTTTGACATCTTCAGTTCCGATCATCAACAATAATTAGCGTGAAGCCTCAGTTTCGAACAGCATGAATGAAGCAGCGTCGAACATAAATAATAATAATTTAGAACAACAATAATATATCTGTGGCGTGTATAGTAATCACTCCCTTAAAAGCATTTGCGAACAGGAAACACAGATTCTATGAACATATGAGTTCAGAGTTTCTCAGGTAGAAAGAAGGATTTTAGAGTGTTCTACTAGCAGAGAGATGGAGTGTGTTATATATACTAAGAATAAAACCACCCCATCCAGTGAAATGCTACAAAGAAGGAGAGCAACCCATGCACGTTCACAGTTTGTGAATAGTGTGCGGACAAGGTGGTCAAAACTCCTGTTTACAGGAGTTAAAAAGATGTGCGGGTCAAAACTTTGACCCCACCACACCGCGCGTGCCGAGCGGGTGGCGCGAGCTCTCCCCTTGTTTCCTCTTCATAACACTTCAAGCCTTCTAAATTGAGTGGTAATTTAAATAGTGAGAAATAGTGAGATACACAAGCAATGTGGGACAAAGCTTGATACTTAAATGTTCTCAACAATCCCCCACACATTTAAGGTGGCATTGTTATACCGTACCAACCTGAGTTTACACCAGAGTTAATTTCCATATCAGTGTATAAAACTTGAACTGACATGTAGTGGAACTAAGTAACCCTTTCCCGAGAGTGAATTAGATCTTGAACTCATCGGTCATTCGAGTTTTGAACTTAGTTGCACTCATTAACTTTGTGATAATCCCTGTTTCGTTTACCTCTACATGTAGACTTTTCAATCTGTCAAGTCTATCTCTGCATAGACTACCTGTAACAGGCTACAGATTTGTCACTGGTCTTCCCAGTTTTGTAAGTCTTTCCGTGATCTCATATGCCCAACATATATGGTGCATCACGAATTTCTTACCACATTGGGTTTCAAGCCCATCTCCCTTGACATATCAAGGACGGTATTTCGATTCAGACCTTTCGTGAAGGGGTCTGCTATATTCTTTTCAGATCTCACAAATTCCATTGTGATTACCCCATTCAGCATTAACTGCCTCACAGACTCATGTCTGACTCTTATGTGTCTTCTCTTGCCATTGTAGACACTGTTTTGCGCAACACTGATGGCAGTTTGTGAGTCACAGTGTATAGGCACTGCAGGTGCTGGATACCCCCACAACGGCACGTCTGCCAATAGGTTTCTCAGCCACTCTGCTTCCTGACTTGCTAGATCTAAAGCTATAAACTCAGCTTCCATCGTTGATCTGGCAATGCAGGATTGTTTTGACGATTTCCACGATACAGCGGCTCCACACATAGTGAATACATATCCACTTGTTGAGCTTGCATCATCACCACCGTTTACCCAGTTCGCATCACAATACCCTTCTAGCACAGCTGGAGACCCTTTATAATCTAGGCCCCAGTCTACTGTGCCTCTCAGGTATCTCAGTACCCGTTTTAGTGCATCCCAATGTAAGACACCTGGGCTGTAGGTATAGCGACTGAGTTTGTTTACTGCGTATGCAATGTCGGGTCTAGTGTAGTTCATTAGAAACATCAGACTACCGATTATTTTTGCATACTCTTCTTGTGACACACTATTCTCCATGTTCTTTGACAATTTTACACTGGGATCGTACGGGGTTTTGGCTGGAGTTACATCATAGCTCCCAAACTTCTTTAGAAGTTTCTCTGTATAATGACCTTGAGATAAGAGGTAACCCTCTTCGGTTTTTGTGACTTTTATCCCAAGTATTACATCGGCCTCCCCTAGATCTTTCATGTCAAATTTGTCACATAGACTTCTTTTTGTGTCGTTTATAGCCTCAATATTAGGGCTAAAAATCAACATGTCATCTACATAGAGACAGATGATTACAATGCTAGACTTTATCTCTTTAGTATATAAGCAGGCATCTGACCGGTTTGTAGTATAACCCAAGTCTAATAAAGTTTTATGAAATTTTTCATACCACTGCTTGGGAGCTTGTTTCAAGCCATACAGAGATCTCTTAAGCCTGCATACTTTCCCTTCTTGGCCAGGATCTGCGCATCCAGGAGGTTGTTCCATATAGATCTCTTCTTCTAGTTCACCATTGAGAAACGCCGTCTTCACGTCCATTTGGTGAACTAACAACCTGTGTAAAGACGCCAAAGCAAATAGAACACGAATGGTTGCTATTTTTGTTACCGGTGAGTTGATGTTATCACATCTTTGCTTGTTATTATAGTTATTTTGAATCATCTCAGTATTTAAGTTCTTTAATTTTGCTTATTTAATACATATTTTCCTTGCTATTATCATTTAATTATGGTTCACACTTGTTTTGAATGTTTTACGGTGTTTGTTAGTGTTTTTGAACCATTTTAGGTCAAAGATATGAGCAAGGGAAGTTCAAGGATGAGTTTTGAGTAATTTTGGACGAGTTCGGGGCCCAGTGGACTCGACGCGTCGAAATTTTCCAGTAGCTAACTAATTCACGCATAGGAAGTCTCGACGCGTGGAGAAAATTCTCGACGCGTCGAGAGAATAGGCGTCTATTTCTGGGATAAAAACAGACGCCTAAAGTGGCGCAGCTGGGCAAAATTTAATACAAGCGCGAGATTTCTTTTCCTAATATCAATTGCACGGATTTCAAGGCTCATATCTCCATATTAAAAGTTAGCAATTCAAGGAATCTTCCAAATTCTAAATATCATTAAAGACGGCAATTTCTTTATTTAAATATAGGAATTAGAATTTGAGTCCAATTTGGTACAAGATTCCTATTTCATCTCAACTTTGTACCCACTATAAAATCCCTCCTTCCTCAACCCTAAGAGGACACCGAGAGATTTTTAGAGTTCTTTGTAGACAAGAAAGAGAGAAATCAAGAGGCTCAAGTCGTCTTTGGAAGCAAGAGGAAGCCAGGGAGATTTGGGAGAATCGCTTGGTTAATTCTTGTACTCTTCTGATGATTTGTAATCCTTTATTCATATTTGCTATGTATAATTTAGCCATGCTCGGCTAAATTCCTTAAGGATTTTTGGGTGAATTTGTTTATGAACCTATGTGCCTAGTTCGTTAATTTCTTAATATATTTATGTTTGGTTTTATGATTTGTGTTGCAATCTTGTTTTAACCTGTTGTTGTTGGTAGTTAAAGGCCTAAATTACTAGCTTCACAGTCATGTTTGTGTCACCAATGGGAGTTGGGGCATAAATTAGGGCACACACGATTGCACCTAATGGTTGGTCCTTGGGAAAGGGGAACTTATTAGGGGAAGTTTATTCTAGATTATTGCTCATCGGGAGATGGTAGTAATTAGGAATACTTGAATGCTGATCTTTGATTTTATTGGGTGTTTAAGCCATGGGAGTGGAAATTCACTAGGAATAGAGATTACGGGAGTAATTCGATTCCACTTTGCATTCCCATACAAATCTTAATTCCAAACCAAATATTACAAACGTTAATTGGCACTAGGTGATTAAACATTGTGATCCCAAGAATCCTATTTTGCTCTATTGTCTACAAAACCTTGCTACTTATTTTATTCTGCTCGTTATTTTATGCAATCAATCAACCTTCAAGCTTTGTTCGGACTAGTTTCATATGAGTAACCTAGTAGCTAGTGATTAGTACACCACCTCTCTGTGGTTCGACAACCCGAATACTCCGGGTATTATTTGTTTGCCCCAAATTACAGCAATCATGAGTAAGTAAAGAAATAGTCCTCACCGAATTTCTGAGTGTAGCCTTTTGCCACGAGTCTGGCTTTGAATCTTTCAATTGAGCCATCTGGTCTCAATTTCCTTTTAAAGATCCATTTGCAACCGATAGGCTTGCAGCCTCTTGGTAGATTGACCAACTCCCAAGTGTGATTTGACTGTATAGAGTCTAATTCATTTTTAACAGCCTCTTTCCACAATGTGGAATCTACCGAGCGCATAGCTTCTTGAAAGGTTTTTGGTTCTTCTTCTAGGACCAATTGACATATGAATTGATCACAAATTTCATTTATGTCTTTCAATTTTGTCAAGTAAGTTATGAAGTCAGAACCAAAACTTTTCTCTATTCTAGCTCTTTTACTTCTTCTTGGTTCCTCTGAAGTGTTTGAGAAACTCGGAAAAGAGTCAGTAGAATTTTGTTGAAGGCTAACATCAGTTGAGGGACAAGGTGTTTTCAAAGTCGTGTACCTGTTCAGTAACGGTTTTGTCGTCCGTCATCACGAAGTGCAGCCATCTATGCACAGCATATTTTCTCTTTCCAACATCATCAACGCCAAACTTGGCTTTCATTAGCTCCCATATCACTTTAGCAGACCGGTACGGCGAGTAAATGTCAAAAAGCGGATTACTTACTCGTTGAAGAATTTCTGCCCGTGCAGTTTTATTATCTTTCTCGAATTTTGTTCGAGTTATCTGTAACGCTGTAGTGGCCTGAGCTTGAGTCGTTTTTTCAGCTGTTGAGTCTGCAGAGGATGCTTGCTTTTCTGTTGCAGCAGTTTTATCAGTTTGAGCAGGAACTTGCGCCACTGTCTCCGTACTCTTCTCA